TAGACTATAGACTAGAATATAGACTAGACTTTAAACTAGACTATAGACTAGACTATAGACTAGACTATAGACTAGACTATAGACTAGAATATAGACTAGACTTTGGACTAGACTATAGACTAGACTAAAGACTACACTGTAGACTAGACTCTAGACTAGACTGTAGACTAGACTATAGACTAGACTATAGACTACGTTATAGACTAGACTTTAAACTAGACTATATACTAGACTTTAAACTAGACTATAGACTAGACTATAGACTAGACTAGACTAGACTATAGACTAGACTATAGACTAGACTATAGACTAGACTATAGACTAGACTATAGACTAGACTATAGACTAGACTATAGACTAGACTATAGACTAGACTATAGACTAGACTATAGACTAGACTATAGACTACGTTATAGACTAGATTTTAAACTAGACTATATACTAGACTTTAAACTAGACTATAGACTAGACTATAGACTAGACTATAGACTAGACTATAGACTAGACTATAGACTAGACTATAGACTAGACTATAGACTAGACTATAGACTAGACTATAGACTAGACTATAGACTAGACTATAGACTAGACTATAGACTAGACTATAGACTAGACTATAGACTAGACTATAGACTAGACTATAGACTAGACTATAGACTAGACTATAGACTAGACTATAGACTAGACTATAGACTAGACTATAGACTAGACTATAGACTAGACTATAGACTAAACTATAGACTAGACTAAAGACTACACTCTGGACTAGACTAGACTATAGGCTAGACTATAGACTACGTTATAGACAAGGCTTTAAACTAGACTATAGACTAGAATATAGACTAGACTTTAAACTAGACTATAGACTAGACTATAGACTAGACTATGGACTAGACTATAGACTAGACTATAGACTAGACTATAGACTAGACTATAGACTAGACTATAGACTAGACTATAGACTCATAAAAAAGAAAAGTAATTTTTAAAAGTTTTTAATTAAGAAGTAAAATTTTTTAAATCAAACAAAACTTTCGATCCACAGTCCACACTATAGTCTAGTTTATAGACTAGACTATAGACTAGACTATAGACTAAACTATAGACTAGACTATAGACTAGACTATAGTCTAGTCTATAGTCTAGTCTATAGTCTAGTCTATAGTCTAGTCTATAGTCTAGTCTATAGTTTAGTCTATAGTCTAGTCTATAAACTAGACTATAGTGTGGACTGTGGATCGAAAGTTTTGTTTGATTTAAAAAATTTTACTTTTTAATTAAAAACTTTTAAAAATTACTTTTCTTTTTTATGAAAAAAAAAAAATGTGAAACAAATTAACACTATTTATTACGTTGCAAACATTCGTTGACTTTATTAAACCACAAACAATTATTTCAAATTACAATTAATTTTCAAGCCAAAACCAACTGACAAATGACATGTTGATGAAGATGAGAAAATAGAAAATTGAAAAAACGAACTAACGAACGAACGGCCTTCAATAATTAAAACCAACTTAATAATGATTATAATGAAGACGACTATGACTAGTCAATTAACAATATGTATTTTTCTTTTAAACTATTATTATGAAAATGAAAACAAACATATTAAAGTTTATTGTTAGTTTTTTGATTTTGTCATTTGCAGTTTAGAGTAGCTGTTGTTGTTGTTGTTTTTTTATAACATACCAACAACTTTCACTTAACTCACGTTTTTGTGTAGAAAAAATAACTCATGAATTCCTAGTGTGTGTTTTTTTTAACTGGCAATTTTTGTTAGGAATTTTTTTGGCATTGTTAAGAGGATTTTAGCCAGAAAATATGTAACTGAACTGATTGTCAGCAAGTGTAGACGTTTTAAAAATTTCCAAAAAATTTCCTGAGAAATAAAACTAATTTTAGCTAATTTTTTTAATTAATGTAAAACTGTTTTTAATTTTTTAAAATTTAAATAATTTTCATTTTAAGAAAACTTCCTGTTTTGTGTTAATAAACGTCACGTGTAGTTTGTTTTTGTGTGGTTTTTGTGAAATTTTTATAAAAGGTGGGTTTAATGGATTTTTATCTAGACTTCAAGGCAACCAAGCAGAAATTTTAATTATTTTTGTAATATCAACCAACTACCAGCTAAAACAACTTAACTCCACCACAAATTTGCTGTCTTGCATCTGGTTTGACCATAATAGTTTTAAAAAAGAGGGAAAAATGTTGCCAGCCGCCTACAATGGCCAGTTGTTATACGTAGCAAATAAAAGACAATTTTATTTCATTGATATTTGTTGTTGTTATTATATTTCTTTAATAAACATTTTGTAATCTTAATAATATTTAGGTAATCACAGCAAAACTAGTCAAATATAATAGAAATTATTATTAAATATAAAATTTTTTACAGTTAATAATGAGGTCACGTTTGTATGCAATTAAATAAGAAATTATTATTAAAGTAAAAAATGTACCAAAAGTAAATTTTCTCTCATTATAAAGTTAATTTTTACAAAAGTACCAAATTTGATAAAAGTACCAAAACTCTGCTAAGTTTTCAAAATATCTTTACAGAATTGTTCAATATCATGAGATAATGAAAATTTTAAAGATTTTTATACAAAATATGCTTTTGTTTGAAAATATGCAAAAATAGGCTTTCTTAAATTTGGGAAATTTGTCTTCAAAATTGTTGAAAATAAACAAGAAAAGCGTTTTATACAAAATATGCTTTTATTTGAAAATATGCCAAAATATGCTTTCGTAAAATTACGAAATTCTTACACAAAATTGTTGAAAAGAAACAAAAAAATCGTTAGATATTGAAATTTTAATGATTTTTATACAAAATATGCCTTTATTTGAAAATATGCCAAAATATGCTTTCATAAATTTACGAACTTTTGGTACAAAATTGTTAAAAATGACCAAATCTAATAATAATATGCTAGAATCTAGAAAATTTTAGCAAAATATGCCATTATTCAAAAATATGCCAAAATATGCTTTCATAAATTTACGAAATTTTCGTACAAAATTGTTAAAAATTAACAAGATAATCGTAAGGTATTAAAATCTAAACGATATTGTGCTAAAATCTAGGAATTTTTGGGCAAAATATACCTTTAATAGAAAATGTGCAAAAATATGCTTTAATAAATTTACGAAATTTTGGTTTGAAGTTATTGAAAATTAACAAGATGATCATGTTGTACTGAAATCTGGTGATATTATGCTAAAATAAAGGAAATTTTTGCAAAATATGCCTTTTTTTAAAATATGCCAAAATATGCTTTAATAAATTTACGAAATTTTGGTACAAAATTGTTGAAAATTAACAAGATATTCGTGTGATATTAAAATCTGAAAAATATTAAGCTAAAATCTAGAAAATTTTAGCAAAATATGCCTTTTTTTGAAAATATGCCAAAATATGCTTTAATAAATTTACGAAATTTTGGTACAAAATTTTTTAAAATTACCAAATCTAATGATAATATTCTAAAATCTATGAAATTTTTACAAAATATGCCTTTATTTTAAAATATGCCAAAATATGCTTTCATAAATTTACGAAATTTTGGTACAAAATTGTTGAAAATTAACAAGATAATCGTGAGATATTAAAATTTGAAAGATATTATGCTAAAATCTAGAAAATTTTCGCAAAATATGCCTTTTTTTGATAATATGCCCAAATATGCTTTTATAAATTTACGAAATTTTGGTACAAATTTGCTGAAAACTATCAAGATAATCGTAAGGTATTAAAATCTAAACGATTTTATGCTAAAATCTAAACGATTTTATGCTAAAATCTAAACGATTTTATGCCAAAATCTAGAAAATTTTAGCAAAATATGCCTTTATTCAAAAATATTCCAAAATATGCTCTCATAAATTTACGAAATTTTGCTACAAAATTGATGAAAATTAACAAGATGATCATTTGGTACTCAAATCTGATGATATTATTCTAAAATCCAGGAAATTTTTACAAAATATGCCTTTATTTTAAAATATGCCAAAATATGCTCTTATAAATTTGCGAAATTTTGGTACAAAATTGTTGAAAATTAACAAGTTAATCGTGAGTTATTAAAATCTGAACGATAATATGCTAAAATCTAGGAATTTCTGGGCAAAATATGCCTTTAATAGAAAATATGCAAAAATATGCTTTATTAAATTTAGGAAATTTTGGTACAAAATTGTTGAAAATTAAGAAGTTAATCGAGAGATATTCAAATCTGAATGATATTATGCTAAAATCTAGGAATTTCCGAGCAAAATATGCCTTTAATAAAAAATATGCCAAAATATGCTTTCAGAAATTTATGAAATTTTATTAAAAATTAACGAGATAATCGTGAGATATTATAATCTGAACGATATTAAGCTAAAATCTAGGTATTTTTGGGCAAAATATGCCTTTATACAAAAATATGCTCTCTTAAATTCTTACTATTTCTTTGCAAATTTATTGGTAATTAAGGCGGGAAGTGTTAGGTACTTAAATTTTGAAGATTTTAGCTTAATATATGCCTTTTATATTAAAATATGCTAAAATATGCTTTCATAAATTATCAAAATTTTGTTGCGGTATTAAAATCTTCCTAATTTTAGGCTAAAATGTATACAATTTTAGCAAATATGGATTTATTTTGAAATATGCTGAAATAAGCTTTCATAAATTAATGATATTTTAATCCAAATTTGTTTACAATAAACAAGAAAATCATGAGATAATAGAAATGACAATAAAAAACTATACCTTTGAAGCATAATATTACGAATTTTCTAGCTTTCTCTTGTGAATCAAACTAAATGAAATTGAAAAAGAAGTGAAAAAGTAAAACAATTCAATTAATCACATTTTAATACGAAACTAAAAGTTAAAGTGATCTGTGTAATTAATTAATTTGTTTTAATTATTTTTATAGAAATCTTCAATTTTAACTAAAATTTTATTTACAAAAAACATGTAAAAATTGTTTGATTATAAAAACAAAAAAAATCTCTTTAAAAGTCTTCCAACAAAAACTAGTACCTTACAAAAAAACTTAAATAAATACTCAACAAAAAACAACACCCGCCCTAACAACAACAACAAAAAGCAAACTCTCAACTAAATCATGAGTAGTCAACCCGCCAGTCAACCGGATAGTATCGATTTGGCCTATGATATGTGGGCTGGACAATTTGAATTTGTAGGCCCAACAACATCAACTGCAACAAACAGCTCTTCATCGACAACAGCGTCTAACAATCAAAAGAAATCCTTACTTAATAATACTCTTAAATTTGGAGATCGTTCAGCTAGTCATAAACTATCGAATGAAAGTTTAGAAGATTTAAATTTAAACTTTAACAATCCCACAAACAATACGCAAGCCTATTCCCTAGGTTGTGGCAGTGTTGGTGGTTACGAAACAGATTATAGTAAACATCCTCCTATACTTATCGATCAAGAGACATTTCTTAGTTTAAATCCACAAGATTTTGATGATATTGTGCCATCGGGTCCAAATTCCCTAATATTTATCGATAATAAACTAGTGGATACAGAGTGTAATAATAACAATAACAATAATCATAATAAAATTATTAATTACGAAAGTTTAACTAATAAATGTAATAATAAAACAAATAATACCAATACAAACGGTTTTAAATTGGAAAATTTGAAAAATTTTAAAAATAAATTAATCTGTGATTACGAGGAAAAGGCCCTAAGTGAGAATAATAACAACAACAATAGCAAAATGAATGGCATCAGTTTGGAAATGTGTGAAAATTTAAATGAACAAGTAAGCAAAACTTTTAAAAACTTATTTTTAAAAAATTTTTTACAAAAAATATTAGTTTAATAACCAAGAAAATATGTTTAAAATTGTTTTTAAAGCTAAAATCTATGAAAATCTAATGATTTTATAGAAATATGCGAAAATATGCTTTTATGCATTTTCAATTTTTTTCTATAAAAACAAACGTGAAATAGACAAAACTACTCATTCTGGCAAAATTACAGGAAAATTTGACAATTTAAATAAAATATGATAAAATATTCTAAAATATGCTAAAATATGCTTTCTATATTTTATGTCTATTTTGTGTTAAAATGTCTTAGAAATGGTCTAGAATCGTTATTTAAGCTAAATTTTATGAAAGTCCCACGAATTAACAGGAATATGCCAAAATAGGCTTTTTAAAACAAAATATGCTTTAAGTTTTTTAGAGTTTTTGTTGAAAAAACAATCAAAATATAGTTAAAATTTATTATTTTACCAAAATTCTATGATAATCTGATGATTTGGACGAAATATGCGAAAATATGCTTTTTATGCCAAAATATGCTTTAAGTTTTTTAGGCCTATTTTGTTAAAAAACATTAAGAAATGGTCACAAATTGTTATTTTAACGAAATTCTATTAAAATCTAATGAATTTAGTTAAATATGCTTAAATATGCTTTTTAAGCAAAAATATGCTTTAAGCTTTTTAAGATTTTTTTATTAAAAGCAGTCGAAAAATGGTCAAAATTAATTATTCTAGCAAAATTCTATGATAATCTGATAATTTGCAGAAATATGCGAAAATATGCTTTTTATGCCAAAATATGCTTTAAATTTTTTAGGCCTATTTTGTTAAAAAAACATCAAGAAATAGTCACAAATTGTTATTTTAACGAAATTCTATTAAAATCTAATGAATTTAGTTAAATATGCGCCTTTTAAGCAAAAATATGCTTTGAGTTTTTGAGGCCTTTTTGTTAAAAAACATCAGGAAATAGTCACAAATTGTTAATTTAACAAAATTCCATTAAAATCTAATGAATTTAGTTAAATATTCCCAAATATGCTTTCTAAGCTAAAATATGCTTTTGACATTTAATGTCAATTTTATGTGAAAATAAGAGATAATTAGTATAAATTGCTATTTTAGCTGAAATATATGAAAATCTAACATATTAACAGAAATATGCTCAAATATGCTTTTTAAGCAAAAATATGCTTTGCATATTTTCTGTAAAAATAAAAGGAAAATGATCTAAAATTGATATTTTATCATAATATTATGAAAATCAAACGATTTTACAGAATTTTGCTCAAATATGCTTTATAAGCAAAAATATGCTTTCCAATTTTTAAAAGAAAGTAAAGGGAAAATGATTTAAAGTTGCTATTTTAGCTGAAATCTATGAAAATTTTGACGAATTCATAGAAATATGCTAAAATATGCTCTTAAAGCAAAAATATGCTTTTAGCATATTCTAACTATTTAGTGTGGAAATAAGCAAAATTTTCCAAAAGTTACAAATTTGCAGTTTTTAACACTTGTAGCTGATTTTTGGAAATTTTTTGGTTCAAATATGCAAATTTTTAGCAAATTTGCTAAAATATGCTTTAAAAAATAAAAAGCATATTTTCAAATATGTTTGTTATCTTTACAGATATTCATTTTTTGGATTTTCTAACTCATTTTCAAGGATATTTCGCTTTAAATATAAAATTTTAGCAAATATGCTAAAATATGCTCTACGATAACTAAAAGCATATTATCGCAAATTACTAAATTCCTTTTAAATATGCATTTTTAAGTACTTATAGTGCATTTTTGGAAGATATTCTGGTTCAATGTGTAGTTTTAGCAAATATTCTAAAATATTTTCCCAAATTGCTAAATTCATTACATATAACCATTTTTAACCACTTTTAGAGGATTTTTGTCGAGTTTTTACTGATTTTAGACAAATATGCCAAAATATGCTTTAAAAATTAAAAAGCATATTTTTGAAAATTATAGAAATTACTTTAATTATGATATTTTTTAATTGTTAAGAAGATTTTAAATGATTTTTTGAGTTAAATTAGGCAAATTAAAGCAACATTTTTAAAATGTTGCTAAGAATTTGAAAATGTTGTTAAGGCTTTCAAGGCCTTTCTAGAGCATAAATATGCTAAAGTTTGATAAAAAAAGTTTACAATTACAAATGTTAAATATTTTTCTCATAAATACAACATGTTGCTAAGACTTTTAAAATGTTGCTAGTGTGTTTTTAGGTTGTTTATTTAGTTTCTCTTTTGTGTTTAACTTTTTTTTATATTTCTAGTTTATTTTCTAAAAATTTTATCTAGTATTTGCAACTACAGTTCAAAAATGTCATTTCGATTAAAATATTAATTTGTTTTATTTACATTAGCATGTCTCTCGAGTGTTTTATAACCCATTCTGCACCCCCTTGTCTTTGAAACTGGAAAACAAAACCACAACAAAAAATAACGAAAAAAACCCCATCATAAATAATTAATAAAAATTGAAAATGAAACATTAATTGCCCTGGAAATATTTAACAGTGGCTAACAAAAATAGTCCAACTAATGAATGAATGCATGACCAACAACCAACAAAAAAATCTATAAATATTTGAGCACATCACTTAGTATAGAAATTTTCGTTTAGTTAATTTTCTAACTAAACTGACAATAGTTATTGTCTGTTCTAAAATACATTTATAAACCACTCGGGGGTGGCGGTTAGTTGGACACCAAAACGTAATAATAACAAACGAAAAATAAAAATATTGTCATATAAAATGTTATGGTCATGTATTTAAACATTTAGTTACAGTTAAGAATTTGCGTGTGAAATTTCGTTTAATAACAGGAATATAATAAAAATTTCCATAAATTTTTTTCTCTAAAGATTTTGTTTATCTAAATTTTAAACAAATTTTAAAATTTAAGAAAAAAATTATTCATAATTGTAATATGCATAATTCCCCTACCAATGAAGAAGAAGATGACGTGAGTATTTATGGCGTTTTAGTGTTTGTTTTTTTTTTAAATCAATTTTTATTGATTTTTTTATGTGTTTCCATTAAAGTGATGTGTTGTGTGTATTGCTGTAAAATAAACAGAAATTATTGTAAATATGTAAAGGTATTGGTTGAAAATATTAAAAAATTTATTAGTGTGAAAGGAATTTTACAGAGAAATTGTTAAAAAAAATTTGGCAAAAAGCATTTTAAAGGAGCACAAAATGTTGCTGAAAAGAGACAAATGTTGCTGAAAGTACAAATCAAGTTTTTTTGGCCATAGATCAGTCTATAGTTTTGACTATAGATCAGTCTAAAGTCTTGACTATAGATCACTCTAAAGTCTTGAGTATATATCAGTCTTTAGTCTTGACAATAGATCAGTCTCCAATCTTGACTATAGTTCAGTCTATAGTCTTGGCAATAGATCAGTCTATAGTCTTGACTATAGATCAGTCTATAGTCTTGACTATAGATCAGTCTATAGTCTTGACTATAGATCAGTCTGTAGTCTTGACTATAGATCAGAGTATAGTCTTGAAAATAGATCAGTCTCCAATCTTAACTATAGATCAGTCTATAGTCTTGACTATAGATCAGACTATAGTCTTGACTATAGATCAGTCTATAGTCTTGACTATAGATCAGTCTATAGTCTTGACAATAGATCAGTCTCAAATCCTGACTATAGATCAGTCTATAGTCTTGACTATAGATCAGTCTATAGTCTTGACTATAAATCAGTCTATAGTCTTGACTATAGATCAGTCTATAGTCTTGGCTATAGTTTAGTCTATAGTTTTGACTATAGTTTAGTCTATAGTCTTGACTATAGATCAGCTTATAGTCTGCAATATAGATCATTCAATAGTCTTGACTGTAGATCAGTCTATAGTCTTGACTATAGATCAGTCTATATCTTGACTATAGATCAGTCTATGATCTTAACTGTAGATCACTCTATGGACTTGACTATAGATCACTTTATAGTATTGTCTACATATCAATCTATAGCCTTGGCTATAGATCAATCTATGGTCTTGACTATAGATCTATCTTGACTATAGATAAGTCCAAAGTCTTGACTATATATCACACTTAACTATAGATCAATCTATAGTCTTGACTATAGATCAATCTATAGTCTTGACTATAAATCAATCTATAGTTTTGACTATATATCTATCTATAGTCTTGACTTCAGATCAGTCTATAGTCCTGACTATGGATCAGTCTACTGGCTTGACTATAGATCAGTCTATAGTATTGACTATAGATCAGTCTGTAGTCTTGACTGTAGATCACTGTATAGTCTTGACTGTAGATCAGTCTATAGTCTTGACTATAGATAAGTCTATAGTCTTGACTATAGATCAGTCTATGGTCTTGACTATAGATCACTCTATGGACTTGACTATAGATCACTTTATAGTATTGGCTATAGATCAGTCTATGGTCTTGACTATAGATCTATCTTGACTATAGATAAGTCCAAAGTCTTGACTATATATCACACTATAGTCTTGACTATAGTTCAATCTATAGTCTTGACTATATATCAATCTATAGTCTTGACTATAGATCAATCTATGGTCTTGACTATAGATCAATCTATAGTCTTGACTATAGATCAATCAATAGTTTTGACTATAGATCTATCTATAGTCTTGAATATAGATCAATCTATAGTCTTGACTATAGATCTATCTATAATCTTGAATATAGATCAGTCTACAGGCTTGACTATATATCAGTCTATAGTCTCTACACTAGATTAGTCTATAGTATCGGCTATAGATCATAGCCTTGTCTTGATTATAGGTCAGCCTCTAGTTGACTATAGATCAGTATGTAGTTTTGTTTATAGATCATTGTGTAGTCTTTACTATAGATTTGTCTATTGTAGATCATTCTATAGTCTGGACTAAAGATCATTCTATAGTATATCTTATTTATCAAATACGCAGATTCAATTTAAAAAAATCTAGCAATT